TCCCTTCTCTTCAAATTTCAGTTGATTCAACCCCAAAACAGCATCATCAACTGAAGAAACCCGCTTCAATTTTGGCCCCAACTTTTGAGGACGATAAAGTAGAGGTGAAACCAGAAGATGGGCTTCTTGACTTTTTGACAATAAAGGGTAAGTTGATGTTCAGTTCCATTGTAGAGGAGCCTTTGCATAGTTTGAATGATTTCTTTGATTCTGCTAAGTTTGAGTTGTTTGAAGTTGATTTGATTAGTCTCTTGAAAGCTTTGGACCTCTCTGGCAATTGGGAAAGAGCCCTTTTGTTGTTCGAATGGATTCTGTCCAACTTAAGCTCTGAAAATTTGAAATTAAATAATCCGATGATTGAACTAATGGTTAGAATTCTTGGTAGAGAGTCACAGCATTCGATTGCATCGAAATTGTTTGATGTGATTCCTATAGAGAAATACTCATTAGATGTTCGAGCTTATACGACTATCATTCACGCTCATTCTCGTACTGGCAAGTATGAACGTGCAATTGACCTGTTTAACAAAATGGTGGAGATTGGTCTCTCACCAACTTTGGTCACATACAATGTCATGCTTGATGTTTACGGGAAGATGGGTCGATCTTGGTATAAAATTTTAGGCCTCTTGGAGGAGATGAGGAGCAAAGGATTTGAATTTGATGAGTTTACTTGTAGTACGGTGATATCTGCTTGTGGAAGAGAGGGGTTGTTGAATGAGGCAAAAGAGTTCTTTGATGGATTAAAGTCACAAGGCTATGTACCAGGAACTGTTACCTACAATGCTTTGTTACAAGTTTTCGGCAAGGCGGGGGTATTTACAGAGGCCTTGAGTATATTAAAAGAAATGGAGGACAACAATTGCCCACCTGATGCTGTTACTTACAATGAGCTTGTGGCAGCTTATGTGAGGGCCGGATTCTCTGAGGAAGGTGCATCTGTCCTAGAAACCATGACCCAAAAAGGAACAATGCCAAATGCTGTTACATACACGACTGTGATAAATGCATATGGTAAAGCTGGAAAGGAGGAAGAGGCTCTAAGGTTGTTCAACCATATGAAGGCGACAGGCTGTGTTCCTAATGTTTGTACCTACAATGCTGTCCTTGGAATGCTTGGAAAAAAATCACGACCAGAGGAGATGATAATGCTGCTTTGTGATATGAAGGCAAGTGGATGTGCCCCTAACCGTATTACCTGGAACACAATGCTTGCCATGTGTGGTGATAAGGGTAGGCACAAGTATGTGAATCGGGTCTTTCGAGAAATGAAGAATTGTGGTTTTGAGCCTGACAGGGACACATTTAATACCTTGATCAGTGCGTATGGACGGTGTGGGTCGGAAATAGATGCTGCACAGATGTACGATGAGATGATCAAAGCAGGATTTACTCCATGCATTACAACTTACAATGCACTTCTAAATGCTCTGGCTCGGCGAGGGGACTGGAAAGCAGCAGAATCTGTTGTTGTAGACATGAGAAGTAAGGGCTTCAAGCCTAATGAAACCTCATATTCATTGATGATCAACTGCTATGCTAAGGGAGCTAATGTGAAGGGGATAGAGAGAATTGAGAGAGAAATTTATGATGGTCATATTTTTCCTAGCTGGGTTCTTTTAAGAACTCTTGTTCTTGCAAACTTCAAGTGTAGAGCACTGAAGGGTATGGAGAGGGCATTCCAGAAATTGCAGAGCAATGGATACAAACCTGACTTGGTTCTATACAATTCTATGCTTTCAATTTTTGCTAGAAACACCATGTATGACCGGGCGAATGACATGTTGTACATGATTCATGAAAACGGCCTTCAGCCAGATCTTGTAACCTACAATAGCTTGATGGACATGTATGCCAGAAAGGGAGAGTGTTGGAAAGCAGAAGAAATACTTATGGCCCTACAAAAATCTGGTGGGAAACCAGACCTTGTCTCTTATAACACTGTCATCAAAGGATTTTGCAGGCAAGGGCACATGCAGGAGGCCATAAGAATTCTCTCCGAGATGACAGCCAGAGGGATTCGGCCATGTATCTTTACCTACAATACTTTTATCACAGGCTATGCAGGGCAGGGAATGTTCTCAGAAATAGATGAAGTGATTAGCTATATGACTCAGAACAATTGCAAGCCCAATGAGCTAAGCTACAAGATTGCAGTGGATAGTTATTGTAAAGCAAGAAAGTATAAAGAAGCCATGGACTTTCTCTCAAAGATTAAGGAGATTGATAATTCTTTTGATGATCAATATGTGCAAAGACTTGCTTCCCGCATTAGGGGTAATTTGGAATCATAACTTCATCATATATCACTGTTGGTTTTGATTTGCTTCTTGTTTCGAGATGTGCTGGTCAGTACTGAAAAAAAGCGTGTGAACTAATTTTCCAGCTACTTTGTTCAATTAGCAATGGATAAGTCAGACAGGTAGTCAAAGTTATATGGAATCTTGACATGGAAGATAAATAATGGGTTTCAGCTTCTGAATTCAAACCTATCAACTGCTTTTCTGTGCAATTGTTGCAAATTGATAGTGGTACAAATTAAAATCTCAAGCATCAGTTTGAGTTGAGTTCTTTTGATCCCAAGACCTGCATAACAGGGTTTCAAAGCGAATCTAATTGTAACGGAATGTAAAATCAGGTATGTAGCTGTCCTAAAGAGACGTTTGTTACTTTGTTGTTGGGTATGTGTATTAAATTTTTAAGGCTAAATTATTGAAATACCCCATGTAAGTCCATTTCAGTCTCAGTTTCCCCCATGAAAAGGGAAACTGGTTTACTGTTTTTGATTGGAAAAGGGAAGCTGGTTTATATGTTTTTATTTTATTAGAGATATGAAGCTGCTGGGGATTATGTTTTGATGTAAAAATATGTTTTTTTATGGCAATTGTGTTGATTGCTTTTGATTAGAAAAGAGCTGATGGTTTATATGTTTTTCATTAGAGATTTGAAGCTGCTGGGGATAATGCTTTGATGTAAAAATCTGCAGCAAATAGCAGTTTAATGGTTTTTTTATTCCAAAACAGCAGCAGGTTTATATGTTTTTAATTAAATATATGAAAAGGTAGTCGAGGCTACTGTGGATTAATTCATGTAAAAGTCTGCAGCAAATGGCAGCTTGCTCACACATTGTAATGCACCATTATTTCATGTAAAAATCGCATATGTGAAGCTTCAGTTTGCATATAGGTTTTCTGTTAGTTTGTCTATGAGTTTGTAGATTACGTACTACTTTGAAATGTACATAACCCTATGTTTGGACGAAGGAATTGAAAATTACATAGAATTCTAAAATGATAGAATTTAGATCTTTGTCATTTAAATTTCTGGCAATTTAGATCTCATGCCCCAATTTTCACAATTTTTTCCACTCGTCATTTAATAATTCCATGTTTTAAGTTGCCAAACAAAGAAATTATCAATTTTTCCATTTAAATTCCCGACTTTTACCAAATTCCGAGTTATTTTTCTTCATCCAAACGAAGGGTAAGAGATGCAAAAGTGCGGGTCGGACGAAAACCATCGGGAATTGCATAAGACGACGTGTTTTTGGGCTTGACGTTTTGTTGGGCTTCTCTTTTCCCGCTCAATGTTACTTATTGGGTATGAGCCCAGCAAATTACCAAATAGCACCAATTTAATTGCAAGCCCACTCTTGACCAAAAACAAATTGCAGGTCCACCAGCAAGTAATAGCCCAACTTATGCCCTCTTGACTTCTTTCTTTTTTTTCAAAGAAATTGAAGGTACAGTAAATTTGAGTTAGGCCAATTCACATCAGTGTGCCCGCTTCCTCTAGAGTAGCTTATAAAAAAGTATTCTCCAAAAGAAAAATTAAATTTGAAGCCCTTGGTGATCATTTGGTTGCATGGAGAAAAACTTACATATCTCATACTTCATATCTCTTTCTCTCTATTTGTCTTACTTGGTATAACGAGGTGAACTATGAAAAAGACCTTTCAAGAAGTGTCAAACAAACTCCAATGCCTTAAATTGCCATTTGCACCCTTATACATGGCCCTACATGGGTAAAATTGAACAAAATTGAGGTGAAAAGTTTGATTTAAATTGGATATTGGTAACTTGCTTAACCACAAGGATATTATTAAGAACTTTTACAAAGAAAGGGACATTGACATATGATTCATACCACAAAGGATTTGTGTAATTTGGCAACTAAAGAAAAAAGAAATAATTATTTATTTGTTTTAATAGCTAATGGCATGATGAGGGTGTAATTGATATTTTATGTATGAGAACTAGGGCTGGTATTGAGATGTGTCATGTCAGACTAATAAAATGTTCAATTCAAACCCGATCAATTTAATAAACTTGTTGTGTCGAGTTTGGGTTTTGTTAAACAAATTATTAAACATGTATTCTATGATTTATCCAACAAAAAAAAAAACAAGTATGTTGTTCAATAACATATTTAATAAATTATTAAACATGTAACATGTTTTTTTTTAAGAGATTAAATTTAATAAAGAAAAAAACATGTCACATGTTTAAGAAGAGACTAAATTCAAAATAGATATGAGAATTAGAATAAGAAGATCGACTTGGTCTAAGGTTTTCATTTTGATGGGTTGAAATCCACTATCTTAAAATGCAAGGTGGAATCTATATATATAAAGTAAAAGGCATAGAATGGTGAAACATTCAAAATACCAGAAAATATCCTTGGTTAATTCAAACATTAAGAATTGAAATTATTAATTAAATAAGAATAATATGGTAAATTCACAATTAAAAAATTAAAAAATAAAAACAAAATCAGATAATAGATCCTACTTTTATGGAAAATAACTACCTATTTTTTATTTTCTTAATTCTAAAAACTAAAAAAAGAAAACCAATTAGCACACGCATGAGCATGTGGCAAGGGGCTAATAAAATAGAATATAGCAATATATTCATGCCACATATTTATTATTATTAATAAAATTAAAAATTAAATAGTAAGGAAGAATGTTATCCATTATCAATATCCAAAATACAATCCTTATGCTCGTGTCGGATGTCTAGTGGCACCAATGTTATTTATGAATTAAAGTTATTTTATAGTTGACAAAGATTCTGCTTATCTAAAAGCCCACAGTAACGCCACCAGCGTTTATCCGAAGCAATGGCGGTGGTAGCCCGTTTCTCCTGCTGCTTATTTACTCACCCGAAGAACTCCGGCCGATCTCCACTGTCCGATCAAATCTCCGTCAAGTCCAGTCTTCCTGGTTAGTAATGACTTCTTAAAGTTCTTTCTTTTAGGTGCCAACTTAGTGACCTTGAGTTTTCCGGGGGATTTTTAACTTGGGTTCCTGTTTGGTTACTCAGAAAGTTAAGGAAATAAAATGGGATGTTGTTGACTTAGAATTCTCAGATATATGTGACTTCATAATTGAAAATTTTCCCTCTTTTTAGTTTTTCTTCCTAGATTGAAATGAATAAATAAGCTTGGCATGGTCAAAGGTGCGAGTGGAATGTGAGGATTTAAAGCTACTGCATTATGGGATTTTTCTTGTCAATGTTCTTGGGCAGTAACTTAGTACATTATTTGTTGCAAAAATGAGTTGGCACACTTGAATTGAAGCTGATCTGCATATTGACATGGAAGTTTTTTTCATTGTAAGAACCAGGGAAGTTACCTTTTCTTCCATTTCAAGCCGGAAAGCTTAGGTCAGCATTTGGACTTACTTTAGATGGACTGTTTGAGATCCACCATGTATTGCCAAACAAAAAATGTCAGGTATGATGGTGAGTTCCTGTACCAGCTTTTTGTGGTTTATTTGTATATTTATTTTTGGGAGATTGGGGTTTTTCATATTTGTCACCGTCAACTTGCCTGCTTTGTGACTTGTGTAAAGCCAGTCTATAGATAAAGTATTACAAGAGGAAAATATATGTTACACCCTTTTACGAAGCCAATCTATAGATGACAACATCATTTGTATTTTATTCGAAGGTTTATGTAGAAACCTGATGAGCATATGCATTCTGATGCTCCGTTCAAGTATCTTAAATCCCCTTGTTGATTGATTTTCATCTTTTGACAGATGCATCATTATGAGGGAATAAAAAGATATTTGAGTTTGTCTAGTATCATGAAGATGCATGTGCTCCAAATTCCTATTTTTTGTTACCCTAAACCCTTCGCATCTATTATGATCTGATGATCCCTATTTAACAATTTTTTTTTCCACTCCTGCGGAAACTATCACTTCAGCAGGGAGACATACAGTTGAGATTCCCAGCAATGGAACTTTTGGTTGGTAATGCCTTAATACTGACAACACCTTTGAAGGCCTTGGCAGAAACATGTGAAGCTGAAAACTCTGTTTTCAACATGAACATGCCTGTACTGCTATTTGTAGCCCTCGTAGGGGCCACTGTTGGTGGTAAGATATTACTGGGTTTGTAATCAAATCAGCATTAATGCTGTTCCATAGGATTTAAGGGCTTTGCTTATGAACACGTTTTAAGTAGTTCCATTGCATTTCTTTTTTCAACAGACTCTATTCAGTGTATTCCTCATAGCCATGTTGAGTAGTTTGTTGATGGTTTATTGCTTCTATGATAGGCTTGCTTGCTCGGCAAAGGAAAGGAGAATTACAGCGAGTGAATGAACAGTTGCGTCAAATCAATCAATCTCTAAGAAGGCAGGCTAAGATTGAGTCATATGCTCCCACTTTGAGTTATTCACCTATTGGTGCAAAAGTACTACCAGAGAATGAGGTGATAGTTGATCCAAGAAAGCATGAGTTGATTTCTCGATTGAAGGCTGGGAAGAACTTTTTGAGGAATCAAGAAACAGAAAAAGCACTAGGCGAGTTTAAGACAGCTCTTGAGCTTGCTCAAAGTGTGAAGGACCCAATTGAGGAAAAGAAGGCTGCAAGAGGTTTAGGTTTGTTTCCGTTACTCTTGTTCATTACTTTCCTGTTTTCACATATAATATTATTGCAGCAGTTCAAATGTGAATAAGAAGAACTAAAGAAAAGTAGCAAAATTGGAGGGCCCGTATCTTGGGAACAAACATTTTCTGTTCCTTTTTCGCATCAGTTAAGTTGTGTTGTTGAGTCATTTGTAATATAAACTACATTGAGCACTCCCACTGAATGTCTCATTCATTGGCAGGTGAAATTCTTTTGCAACTTTGTTAAGACAACAAATAAGAAAAACTAGATGCGACTGTTCATTTTCTCTATCTAATTGAGACTGAGCATGCATTATGCACAGATTCACATTTTTGTTCTTTTATTCTTTTGCTTACCAACTACTTCTGTCTCTATGAGCCTCATTTCTTAGCTTCAGGTGGCAGTGTGAATGGTGTTGAACAGTTTGCAATTGTACTTGTCTTAAATTATGTTGGTTTGGGAATTTTTCTATTTTGAAATTCTTTTCTAATGCTGTTCTTTTTAATGCGATTTGCATCTCTTAGGAGCCTCGCTGCAAAGACTGGGCAATCACCGAGAAGCCATTAAATACCATTCTATGGTTTTGGCAATCTCCGAGCGAGAAGGAGAAGACTCAGGAAACACAGAAGCTTATGGAGCAATTGCTGATTGTTATACCGAGCTCGGAGATCTCGAACGGGCAGGGAGGTTCTATGACAATTATATTGCAAGGTTGGAATCTGACTGAATCAGCCTCATGACCCAGAAGTTTGGTCTCTATCTATGTATTACAGAGTTAGATGTAGCCTGCGGATCCCGGATCATTTTGTTTCATTTTTTGTGCTAGAAGTAGTTTGATGCATAATGCCTTGTTAAACCGTTTACTCTTTCCAACCTTGTCATTTTTTGTCACTCTAGATTGTAGAAGAATATAGATGTTCAATTTTTAATTCGTCCAAGAAAATAAATTACAGATCAGTGGGTCTTAATTGTCCAATCTTAACTTGTTGACCCCAGTTCGTGCCTTTACCTCCAATGTTTCAACTTTCACGGAGCTATGGCAAAGAGAAAGTTAACTTGGAATTGTAGCTTCCAGATATGATAATGAGTGAAATTGTATACTGACTTCCATGTATTAATCATACCTTCAACTATTGCTGATAGCTTAAACAAAGGTGGGTTTTACCATTACAAAATCAATAACAGCTAAAATGACAACAAAGGCAGAAAAAATAAATAATAGAGGGGGAATAACTGAAAACAAATTTGAAAAAGCCAACTCCCTCTAATAATAATAACCACTCATCATAACACAGTAGAAAACAGGAGATCATACATGTTACATATCCAGAGACAGCAAGCACATAAGGCAGGGTAACAAGCTCACCGCTCAAGGGGCGGCAATAATAAAAAGCTTCCTAAGGGGGTTATAACTCAGATAACACCTGCATAGTGGCAGGAAATATATATATATATGTAGGTTGTACCATTTAACAGAACTCTTATGTATTATTACTGATAGTACATGAGCTGCTGGGCAGCAGCAACATTCTGGAATCCGCCGTCGTATATAGCTTGGCTTGCTCCAGCAGTGCCCATTCCCATTGCTGCCTGCTTAAGGGGATGCTGCCCCTGGGGGTGCATGAGAGCATGGACACCACCCATCTTGCTCATTGCAAGTTGCCGTTCATAGGCCAAGAGGTCTGTTGCAGAGAGACCTGGTAAAGGTGCTGCTGCTGCTGGTGGAGGGAGTGGGTTTGAAATTGTTCCTGGTGGAGTAGGCTTGCTACCCCAAGAGCACTACATGCACAAAAATAATACGAGTTCAACGATCAATGTACAGACACAAAAAGTAGAAACACTCGGACAACAAATATGCATCACTAAGAGAGAGATAACCCAGTATGATTGAACGACACAGTCCTCTACTATTTCCAACTTCCTGAAATTCATAACTCTAATAATAAGCAGAGAACCACACCTTTATTTGTCTACCACACAAAATTGACTGAGTATTTCCCATTTGAATAGCCAGAGCTGCCTCAGCATGGGTACTGAATCTCACAAAACCAAAGCCCTTATCACGCTGGAGCCGAACCTCCTCAATCACTCCAACACCAAGAGTATGAAAATGCCGATGAAGATCAAGCTGAGTGACCTATAACGAAAAGACCAATTTAACAGGTTTTCAAATGAACGAATAACAGTGGAATTTCTATGATCTAAAAGTACTGAAGATATTCATTTAGTTCTCTAAATCATTTCCTCTTTCAAGAAACTAAAAGGCGCCAACTCAAGTTGAAAAGCAGTTAAAGTAAAAAATTTCATCTAAGGCATGGCAGAAATTAATGTGTGACAGTGCAGGGGGCAAGTAAATGTGCGTATCTGAGTGTGTGCACATGTTACACGCGCACACACAGAGAGAGAGAGAGAGAGAGAGAGAGAGTAAAGAGATATAATAGATAAGAAAATTTCTTGCCTCTGGAGCAAGATTGCCCACATAAACAGTAGTATATTGAGGGTTGTTCTCCGGAGCCTCGCTGTTTGTCGTCTCCTTTCCATCTTCTGCACAATCAAAACTGAATATGAGTCTGTCAAAGGCAGAGGGCTCTATCCTTTCACACAATAAATTTGAAACTAGCAAAAACCAAATTATTTTCCTTTCGACATAAAAAATGACCACGGTGGGCGCACCTGATGAGCCATTTGTAAGTTCCACAACACTTTTAGCATCTGAACTCTGCTTATCCTCATTGGAACCAGCACCTTTTGTTGCCCAGTTGCAACGTATCTGTCTACTTCCAAGCCACTTACCTGGCATCACAGCCAAAAAAAGTTCAAAGTATGGTGAGAAGCAAAACAAGAGAGGAAGCCATAACCACGTACTTAGCATCTATGCATTTTTAAAATAATTTTTAAAGAAGGAAGAACGTCGTCCTTACCAGTTAAGTCATTTATTGCACTTTGAGCATCCTGAAAGAGAAAAAGGAAGTATGATGAGAATCAATTTAAGCACAAATCTACACAATTAAATAAATGCAGAGGCTGGGTTTTGGCTAACGCGTTATTGACTCTTTAAAAGAAAATTTGAAATTTGATATCATTATATCAAAGCCGTTACCTAATTTCTCTCATCCTAATCCCTTGCATTCAGTTACCAGTCCATCAGAACTACCATTCAGACTCAGAATAGATTATTAAGAAAAACGAATTCAAGATCCCATGCATTCCAAAAGATACCAAAAGTAAAGAACATGCTACCTGTTGGTTTCGGAATGAGACAAACCCAAAGCCTCTTGAACGCCCTGTCTTCTGATCCCACATGACCCTTGCATCTCTAACACCAACAAAATAATCAAATTAGATATGTCATAAACACACTGGATTACAAGGTAAGCTTAAAGAATGTTAACGGATGACCTAAAACTTTCAGGAGTTCTAACTATTGGCCATCAGATGTCCTATAAAAAATGATAAAATTAAGAAAATGGGTGTCCAAGAAAACACTTACGAACAACTGGGATAAACAGAAAAGCATGCAAATAATGTAGCATCAGTAACCTCAGGGCTTAGATCACCAACAAAAATGTTGAAATGGCCTGCACATCAAAAAGACTATCAAAACTAACCTAGCTGATAAATGCGAAACCTACATCAAAATTAGTTCCAGGAAAGAAAAAACTTGAACTAACCTGATGTATCCTCCCTTTGACCACTAGCATATGCCCAATTTACTTTGATAGGCTGCCCAAACCTTGAAATCACATATCAAAATTTTAGAGACAATCATAACAAACAAAATAACCAGGAGAGTAATTAAGATTTGTACTTACAGATGTCTGCCATTGAGAGACAATATTGCAAGGGCAGCTGATCTGCGATCAAAATAGTGAATGAACCCATACGATGACTGCAAAAGGCAGAGAAAACAAAAATTATCGTCAGCTGGTAAATTTGAGTTAGGCTCATAGTAAACTAATTGATTCAAGAAATTTTCAATAGCCACAAAGTAGACTTCTTTGGTGAACAGAAAACAGTTAAAATAAACACCAAGGGCGGCTATGTGGACCATTGCAAACTTACCTTTTCCTTTCTTATAAGTTTGCAGCTTTCAACAGCACCGGTACTTGCAAAAACCTCTTGAAGAAGTGGCTCAGTCACCTGGGTATGTATGTTCCCCACATACCTGAAATTTCTCAAAAATAAAGAAACTGGAAGTTCTAAAACCAGAAGAGAAGAAAGAAATTAAATTAATCCATAAGCAATTACTTTCGATCAGAAAAGACAAAAATATAATGCAAGTAACACATAGAATAACATCAAATTGATATTTTTGGACAAAGAGCATGGCCAGGGAAAGGGTAAAACTGCAATAAAGGTGCATAATTTAAGATAGTTGAAAATTTAAAATACTTTAGGAAGATAGCATGGCTAAGTGAAGAGCAACAATGAAAGAAACAAAACTATGATAAAAATCAAATATTCAATGAAGTATTGATTAAGGGTATGAAAACTAGGGCGAACTATAACAGTTACATAAGCATAGAGGTGAAACAAAGAAAAACAAAAGATGAAAAGAAAAAAAATTGTCTAGACAAAACACTCACACACTGCGGCAAGTACTTGGATCAAAACCAGGAGGCAGATTTCCACTTGGGATTGGCTCTATCTGCAAAATAAAAATATGAAAAAGAAAAGAAAATAAAGAAACCTAAAAAATACAAGCACAATAAAAGAAACCTAAATCAAAATAAACTAAAATCCCCTACTTCTTTATCAACCAAGTCAGGAGTACTTCAACCTGAAAGCAGAATCCACTTAAATAGGTATTTGCACGAGAAACTAACAAGGACAATTTAAAACACTAGTGCTCCGCCGTGAAAAAGAATGATTATGCAAGACAAAAACATGGTTGGCAGGAAAACTAATGTTAACGTAAAAAAGGGCAACCCTACGCAATTAATCAAAATTCTAAGATAGGTCAAAATGACTATTTGGTTTACTTCTATATTTGAAAGTCTTTTCTGCAACTTACTGGAGCCTTCAAAATCACCAGGAACAACATACTTAGAAACAATTCAAAAAAACCAGTGTTCAGAATAGATAAATCAGTACGATATTTTTATTGCCATTTCACTACGACATAATGATGAGAAAGTTACCCAGATGCCTATAATGCTTCTCCATATTTGAATTCCGAAAAAGTTTTAAAAAAATTATTAATCTAATTAAACATGAATCATTTGACCCCAACACTCGAGCTCCGCTTAGCTCCAAAACATAACACGGAGAAGAGAAAATTCAAAAAATAAACTCAAACTCAACACCCTAGCTCAATTTCCACTATCGAGAAACAATCAAATTTAGAACGTTCGCACAACAAAATCTATAAAAAAATCCAAGCTTGGAAATCAGGTACTTCCAAAACAAGGAAGAAGAGAACTTAACCCTAGGTCGCTAGCTTCCATAATGCAATCACATAGAAAGACAACCGGAGCTCGAAGATCAACACCAAAATTCAAGCAAAACTCGAACCCAGAAAAAGAATCAAAGTCACAGGAAAAGAAATAAAGAAGAGAGAAAGCTCGAACCTGAGGGGGAGCTAATAGGCCAGGGTGGTAAAGAGAATGCTGCTGAAGAAGAGCCTGTTGCATCAGAGCTTGTTGCTGCTGCTGCTTCAGCCTCTGGTGCTGCATTTCCTCGGTGATTTTCCGAGAAAGTCGGTGTCTCGCCGAGAAATTTGAGGTTAGGGTTCGAGCAAGGGCCTCAATAGAAATGAAAGAGAAGGGAAGAGAGCGAAAGAGAGAGAGAAGAGGCCTCTGACAGAGAAAAAAATATTCATTAATGGCTCTTGGGGTTTATATAGAGGGATATACCAAAGACAAAGAGGGACAAATGCTAAGCTAATGAATTTGGCTCCCCCTGACCCAATCTCTTGCCACATGCCACTTGGCCACTTAGATTTAAACTTACTTCAG